ATGAGTAATGCATTAGTACAGTGTTTATTAATCTTTGTTAATGTTAGTTAAAGGGTTAGTTCACCCAAAAATGAAAATTAAGTCATTAATTACTCACCCCCATGCTGTACCAACCCCGTAAGACCTTCGTTCGTCTTCGGAACACAAATAAAGATATTTTTGATTAAATTTGAGAGCTGTATAACTACCACATTGGCTCCTAAAGGACTGCCTCTTGACGGCCCAGAAAGTCAATGAAGAAAATGTTTAAATATCCCAAGTGACTACCGTGGCTCAACTATATGTTTATCAAGCGACGCGAATACTTTTTGTGCGAAAAAACAAACAAAAATAACGAGTTTATTCGACTATTTCTTTTCTTCCTTGTAGGCCAGAACGAGACTTCCTTAGATTTCCACGACGCATGCGCGAGAATTGCGATCTGAAGTGGTGTAAGCTGATGTGAGCAGATCGCAAATCTCGCGCATGCGTCGTGGAAATCTAAGGAAGTCTCGTTCTGGCCTACAAGGAAGAAAAGAAATAGTCGAATAAACTCGTTATTTTTGTTTGTTTTTTCGCACAAAAAGTATTCGCGTCGCTTGATAAACATATAGTTGAGCCACGGTAGTCACTTGGGATATTTAAACATTTTCTTCATTGACTTTCTGGGCCGTCAAGAGGCAGTCCTTTAGGAGCCAATGTGGTAGTTATACAGCTCTCAAATTTAATCAAAAATATCTTCATTTGTGTTCCGAAGACGAACGAAGGTCTTACGGGGTTGGTACAGCATGGGGGTGAGTAATTAATGACTTAATTTTCATTTTTGGGTGAACTAACCCTTTAATATACGTAAATCCAGCTGTTCATTGTGTGTTCATGTTAGTTCACAGTGCATTAACTAATGTTAACTAATAGAACCCTTGATTTTAATAACGTATTAGTAAATGTTGGAATTAATATTAACTAAGATTAATAAATGCTGAAGAAGTATTGTTCATTCTTACTACATGTTAACTAATGTAGTTAACTAATGTTAACTTATGAACCTTATTGTAAAGTGTTACCGAGTGATTTTTAATGCCAGATATAATTTACATGTGTTTAACATCTTTAATCTTTGTGCATATTGCGTATTGTTGTACAGTCACAATGCTTTAGCACGTGCAGTGTGTTTTTGTGGGTTTTTGTATTGAAAATGATGGCTATTGGCAGGATATCCACTATACACAGTAGTAAGAAACCTTGACCTCTTGTCCTCTGTTTCTGTGATGTTGTTTCTGTTCAATAACCTCATAACTTTCCACGATGAAGGTGCAGACAGTTAAAGTGCATCAGTAACCAGACAGTTTCTGGTCTCACTGACTTCCATAGTATATATTTTTTTTTACCTACTATGGAAGTCAATGAGACCAGAAACTGTCTGGTTACTGATATTCTTCTAAATATCAGAAGATCAGCTAAATGGATTCGAAACGGTAAAACTCAACAGTTTAACTCTGGGGGAGTGGTAAAATGAGCTTATTTCCAAAAAAAGTGGAGTATCCCTTTAACAGCTGCACAGATTCTGTATAGAAGCAGCCTGCATTCTCTCACAGCTGGTGAACTGCACTGGTAATACACTGGGTCTGATTTCCACAGCATGACCAAAACTTGTTCACCCTTTCCGTACGACATCCACCAGCTGAATATTACATCAAATAACTATACTAGAATGTCTCAGCTGTCAAACTTCACCATGTAATTTCACCCTCCACAAAATCCTGACAGTTTGAAACACTGCTGTATAACTACTATTGAAAGTGACAAGTTGAAGCTCGACGTTGTGGCTTGCTTAGTCACAAAAGATTTTAAAACAAAGAAAGCTGTGCTTCTTTATTTAACTGTACGGCACTCAAAAGGTACCGACTTGATGAAGGAGATTCACAGGACTAATCACAGATCAGTGTGATGGCTTCCAGATGGCTCTGTTGTTTGTGTCCTTATTTCTGTGTAATGTCGTCACACAACATCCAGAAAGATCTGGATGAGTCAGTGCCCTCACCTGGATGCCGAATTATCCTTCAAGTGTCATTTCACTCTTGTCTAGTGCTCTCAGTTGAGGTCAGGGCCATTTTCTCTATGGAGGCCAGGAGTGAGGTGCTTTTCAAAACAATGAAAATAATCTATACAAAAACAGATGTGAGTTCTGAGGTTGTAAATCAATGTTATTTGCTTCTGTTAAAGCCATCTGTTTGCATTTTTTTTTTCAACTTAGTTGTGTCTGAATTTGTGGTGAGATAACTACATTACCCATGATGCTGTACAGAACACTCCACCAATCAGATAGTTGCGGCAAATTGTGCCAAAAGAGCTCTAAAGGAAAGGCACTTAAGTGATAGTTCACCCAAAAATGAATATTCTGACATCATTTACTTAGCCTATACCATCAAGTTGTTTTAAACCTGCATGGGTTTCTTTCTTCGGTTGAAAACAAAAGAAGATATTTTGAGGATATGGCTAACCAACAGTTGATGGACCCCATTGATTTTAGTATGGGAAAAAAATACTATGGAAGTCAATGGGACTAGAAACTGTTTGGTTACCAACATTCATCAAAATAATCTTCTTTTGTGTTCAGGTTTGGAACAACTTAGACTGAGGGTGTGTAAATGATTTTTGGGTGAACTATCCCTTTAAAAGTGGTGGTGATGGCACAGTTGGTAAGACACATGCCTTTGGTGTGAGAGACCCAGGTTCGAATCCATTGTGAGACACCAATGTGTCCCTGAGCAAGTTGCCCCAGAGGCGTGCGACATATAAGTCGCTTTGGATAAAAACGTCAGCTAAATGTAAATGTAAAATGTAAACGCTCTAAGCTTACTGAGGATTTGATGATAAATAACTAGAAAAATAACAAAATCAACAATGCATGAAACATTATTTTTACTGTATACTGTGTTGTATTTATTATTTTTGAAGCAATGTAAAAATGTTTTCATAAACAAACGTTTTAAATTGTTTTAATAAACAGCATCGTTATGTATTATATTTAAAGAATATAAGTTTGTAGTTTTATATTAGGCTAATAGTTTATGACATGTTTAAAAAATTAACCAGCATGCCAAAACAACTAGCGCCATAGCGGGGTGGCCTCGTGAAATAATGAAATAATGCTTCATGTAAAGGGTAGGAGAAGCCAGAGGCACTGATTTTTCCTGTCTTGTCTGGTCTGTTCTTAGTCACACTTTGTCTCTCAGCCCTGATGCTGTAACAGAGTCTCATCCCAAGAAATCATATAACTGACGTCTTGGGACGTCTTTTGACCATACGTCAACATCCGCCTTTTTAGGGTACCCTTAAACGTCGGTTATACGATCCCGGGCCGTCATACAACTGACGCTTTACCTTTAACGGGTTAGGTTTGGGGTTGGGTTAGGATCCGATAACGTCATCTAACCGATGTTTAAGGGTACCCTAAAAAGGCGGATGTTGACGTATGGTCAAAAGACGTCCCAAGACATCAGGACGGCGGGGTTTTTTGAATTCCAAGTCTCTATCCTCTATACAAATGGATGACACACTGGTTGATGATGACCCTTCCCTGAAGGTACTACTGGTCACCAACAACAGTGACATGCTCAAGCTGCTGAAGATGAGTAGCTGTCCTCTTGTATCTCCTGCAGGTCAGTGCGTCACCGTCTGAGTCATGGCAAAACTAATAGGTTAGGATTTAGACTGAATATGAACTTGGTTTCAACATTGAGCAAATCCACAGCGAGGTCTCCTAACATTTTTGGTTTCCTGATATTATGCCCACATGTTAGATGCATTAAAGCATTTAGATATCTCTTGTCTACCATGTGAACAAGCAGTCTGCATTTGGCAGCCATTAGACAGAACTGGGTAATTAAAATTTAGCATGGGAAACGGAACATCTGACTACACATCTGGATCATTAGTGCTGTAGTAAAAACATGATTTGTGGTTGCAGCTCTGAGATGGGATTTGAATACAAAGTGTTTACAGTTCCAAACAAGTGCACACACACACATGAACCACTTTTTGTAAAATTCATTGGCCCTCTGGGACTTGTTAAATAGCTTGTGTTTTATGGCCTAACCTTTCTTATATTGCCTAGCCAGAATACTTTAAGCTAGTTGTAGGGGGAAAAAAAGGAAGACTTTTCTTTACAGTTTAGAAAAATGACAAATTTCTAACAAGTAACTTAAGGTTTTATTTGTTAACAGTTCACTAGATAAGTTAACATGAACAATAATCAATATTTCGACTGCATTTACTAATCTTAGTTATCAATCGTTGTGGTAACACTTTACAATGCGGGTGCACTAATATGCATTAATTCATGCTTAACTAATGCACAGATAATTATTGTATAATTATTGAGTTAATGTATAACTCAAACAGAACTAAAACCATTAATTAATGGTTACTGCATCAGCAACTAAACAGTCTATATGATTAATAGATTAAGTAATACATGAATTGCTAATTCAATGTGTCATTGTGTATTAATTCCTTAATAACATATTTTATTAACTAATAGTGTTAATTACCACAAAGTCAAAGCTATGCACTTAAACTTCCAGTTGTCTGCTTTAATTAATCGTTAGCTAATGATTTGCAAAGGTATCATTATGTTATGACTTTACTTGTTGGGGCACATCATTATTAACATTTAGTAATTGTAGTAATTTGCACATGAATTTGCATTAACAATGACGTAATTAATCATGTATTAATGCATATTAGTGTACCTGTCATATTATCTGCTGTTGTTTATTAGATTAGGCCTATAAACATTCAAAGTAAAATATGCATTTTCTTCTCATGGGACTTTGCATGTCCAGGATTTGGTGGAGACTCTGATAAGAGACTATGTCATTTACTGTAATTCACAAAACAAGCTTTAGCGTTACTGCCTTTTTAAAAACATATTGTTCATAGTATGTAGAATACTCAATATTAGTGTACATTTCAAAGGAAGGTCAAGATTACAAACTATTTCATTTGTTGTTGTTTTGTTTGTATTTCTTTTGAATTTATTTGTGGTCTCTTTGTCAGATAGGGTTGATAATTAACAACTTTGGCTTTCCACAATAGATCAAACAATTAAAAAACATCCACAATTGAAATGAATAAAAAATCATTTTCATACTTTTATATTCCATTCACCTATTACAGAATCAAATAAATGTCATTTTCCTATTTTGTTCATTATTACAAATATTAATCATTATGTAATTATCGTAACAGAAAGAAAAGCTTACTTCTAAACATTGCTTCTTAAATTACATTAAAATAAACATACATAATATTGCATCACACAAACATAAGTTTACATTTGTTTTTTTATCAAATCATATTTTAAATTACCCTTTTCACACACAGAGAAAGTGACATTCGTTTGTATATTAAAAGTTTAAAAATCACATCAAAAATGTTTTATTAAGTTAAATTTTAATCAAATCACCCGTAGTTCCTGCCTTTAAGGAAATCCTTCAGTAAGTGACATGAAACACTGTCACGTGGCTTTAATAAATGGATGCTAGTATTTGCATTTCGTCAAACTGCCACCAGAGAGCAGAAGCGGCCCGTCAGAAACATGTCTGTCATCATTACATAAACCCGCCCTGGGTTCTGCAAATAGAAGCAGCGACTGACTCTTTTTTCCCCTGACTGAGGTGTATGTCACACACATGCTGGAAGGATGGGGAAAAGAGACACGCTCGCTCGGCTATGATCTGTCTGAGCGTGAGGTCATCACTGACCCCGTCATGAGTGAAGGACGTCAGCCAGACGTCAGCAGTGCAATTAAATATTCAAATGTGAGCGAAGGACTGTGTGATCTGCCTCAGTGTATTACACGCATACACCCACAGGCATCATCAACAAGCCTTATGTGACAATCAATTTAGGTAGGCCTATGAAGAAGAAGAAAAAGAAGATCCAGCCTCCTTTTATCTCACTTGTGCTTGTATTTCTGTCAGCGTGCACAACAAGCTCTGATGAACCAAGATATTATGTAACATCTGCAAACCTCAATTATTACATGAGCAGCTCAAAGCGCAAATGCATACAAATGTGGTCCACATGACAACAAGAAGTTGGTTTCGCTGAAGGGAAAAGACTCAGCTGCATCCACCGAACAGATTACTTTCACGCCGTTGAGAAATGTTATGCATACATTGATCTTGTGTGGACTGAGCCGCACAGAACCAAGTGAAGATCATGCAAATGGTTTGTGAGAGCAAAGAGCACATTCACAATTGAAAAGCACAGCTTCATTCCTTGGAGTGAATGAGCACAGCGAAACCAGCGCCGGAAGTTCCCTCAAAAAATAAATAAACTTTCCGTTTTGGCTTTTGGCACTTGTGTGTTGTATTGAAGAATTCAAGCTTTGCGGCATTGTCATTCTCTGTGCTTGAGGAAATGGAAGTGGAGTGTGCCGGACTGTGGAGTGTGTGTGTACTTTACGCACTGGGGCAGGGAGAGGAGCTGTGTTCCTGGGATCTGAGAGAAATGCACGTGTCTCGGAGACCACGCCACTCTCTGATCCGCTGCTCCCGATGGGAGGGGGGGAGCCGCTCGAGCTGCCGTGCGCGGAGGTGAGGGGAGGGTGCCAGAGTTCCCTTTAGGACATGAAAGGTGTACCTAGAAAAAAAAAATAGGGCCATGTTGAGAGAAATTATTTTTTAATTTTTTTAAATAGCCAATAGCTTTTAGTTTATAGCACATCTCGGCCAGAGCTGTTGAACTCAGTAAAGCCGCAGTTTCAAACTAATCAAACTTTAAAATATACTGTGCAGAATTCAAATGGGTCCGATTCCAAAAACGTTCTCTGGTCTGCGCAGATATATGGTCCGCTCTGTGCGCTGTGGCGGTTCAGTGACGCTAACGTGAAACCAAGCCCTGAAATTGGGAGCTTTGTCCTGTAGTCTAATAAAGTGAAAATAAACATCGCTATTTATGATTTTTACCTATACTGTTATTCAGGTCATTATATTTAGTAGACTGAATAGGTCCAGCAAATTAAATTACATCATTTACATTATTAATTTAGCTAACGCTTTTATCCAAAGTGACTTATATATGTCGGAGGTCGCACGCCTCTGGAGCAACTAGGGGTTAAGTGTCTTGCTCAAGGCCAATTTATACTTCTGCATCGAGGGCATGCCGTCGTTAGCATTTATACTTCTGCGTTCAGGTCTTGCTTGCTCTGCAGTACTGCTCCGAAACACTAGTTGGGGGCGGAGGGTTTTAATGTTCCTCTGTGTTTAGATTCCTCGCGGCTAGGTTACTACAAGCAATGGTGACTGAAAGAGACCGGATCATGTTGGAGTTGGAGCTTATTGAGGTGGAAAAACAATTCATTTTAGTGAAATTACTAAAACTAAAAGGCAGAAACGAGAGAAGACGTCGAAGGAGATGGTATGTGCGGAAATGCGTAGGAGGAAATGCGATGCTACCAAGCCGACCAATCACAGATCTTGCGGTCCGCGTCTTTACGTCATGTAGTTACATTTTTTGAGGAGGTGCGCGTCAGGCTACGGCGAAGGGTACGCGGTATGGTACACGTCTGTGCGTATGCTACGTCGTAGCTACTGCGCGCCGCGCACCCTACGCAGAAGTATAAATTGGCCTTCAGGGACACATTGGTGTCTCAAATAGCTTGTTTTAATATGACGTCACGCCACTGCGTTGCCATGGCGCGAAATGCAAATGGAGGGCAGGAAGTGATTTGGTGTATTTAGAAAGAACTATAGACCTTATGTAGCCCCACCCCTTTTCAGCGTTGCGCTCGTTGTCTTTTGACTTCTGGTCTTTATTTCCACAGCGATCTTGCATATATGAATGAACTGCTCTTAAAAAAATTCCCGTTCAACATTTGTTAAGACATCTGCTTTACAATGCTTATGATAAACATTACAATGCTCATGATAACTTTTGTTAACTCTAGAATAAGTAAATCCACTTCACCAGCTAATTACTCCTCGACAGCGATGCCATAGAAATATACAGAACCGGAAGTTCAAAGACAATATTCTAAAGATGACGGCGCTCACGTTTCTATGGTGCATAAGGTCTATAACAAACTCCAAATGCCTTTTGCGTCGTTTATCGTTAATTAAATCGATCACATCACTAGGAGTTTTTATCATGTACCAAAAGTGGTTGTTCATAAGGGGGGAAAATGCTAGAAATTGACTGAAAAACTCCGGGAAAACGGCTTGCAAACCTACGTCGAATGCCGAATGGGAAAATGCCCATGTGTGCAGTGATCACTTCGTCAAAGGTGAGTTAATACAACTTAAGTGCCTATTGTGTAACGTGTAATGTTTCCAAACTTTGTAAAGTCAAAGTATGTCTGCAAGACGAGGTAGTTGCTGATATCTACCGCCTTGATGGCTGGAAAATCTTTCAATTCAGTTGAAAAATCGCTCCTCTTCATAACATAAGGATCACGTCCAACATTTGTTTGATTTTTTGTTTATATCTTTCTCTTGCATGTAACGTAGTACTGTGCGTACTTTCCTCCATCTCGTCCATTGCGCTCTTCACTCCCTGCCCTCCATCTGAATTTCGCGCGTCATCATAATCACGTGACTGAAACCCAGCTATTGGATTCGAACCCAGGTCTCTCACACCAAAGGCATGTGTCTTATCCACTGCGCCATCACCATCCCACATCACTCGAACCTGGGCACAATGAGTGCCAGTCACAGAGCCGGTCACAATTAACAAAGCTTATTGAGGATTTAAAACGTTATCATCCAACTTGAAATAGGCTTTCCAACTAATGTAAATCACTATTTACATAGTAGTAAATTTATCTCACACACAAAATCACATATTGTCCTGCAACTGAGCATTAACCAGATGGTCACCTTATTCATGTATAACAACAACACTAATATGATGCTATTATACACATAATGGTAATGCTAAACTTTGGTTACCTTGGCAGTAAAGCAACAACAGTTGTTAAAATGCAGACGAGGTAAAACATGGGGTCGGCCATTTGTTTGTGCATGGTCCAGTAGGGGTTGGAGGGAGGGTTGCAGCTGGTACAGATGGCGCTGTAGGCCAGAGTCACGATGAAGTACACCAGCACACTGCCGATCATGATCACCCAGTGCACCACCGTCTGCAAGTCAAACAAAAAGAGGTCATTCCATTAAAAATGTTTTTTTCATGCATATTTTTACATAAAGAATAATTAAGACATGCTTGCTATAACCTTAAAAACCTCTAAAGTGTTTAAAAAAAACATTAATCGAAAATAAGCTGCACAAAAGATTGACTATTCAAATATTAACGCACAATCAACCAATTGTATTATTATTCTATAGTCGAAAGAACATACTTTTATTCTGGTTGTATACACTATCATTTGTATGGGGTCTGACTGTAAGACTGCATTTATTTAATAAAAAAATACAGTAAAAATACTAATATTGTGAAATATTATTACAATTCACAATTCTGTTTTCTATTTGAATATTTGTATTAAAACGTAATTTATTAGCGCCATTTTCACTACTCCAGCCTTCAGTGTCACATGATCCTTCACAAATCATTCTAAAATGATGATTTGATAACTCAAGAAACATTTCTTATTTTTATCGATGTTGAAAATAGCTGTGCTGCTTCATATTTTCATAGAAACCATGATTATCAGGATTTTTTTTTGATGAATAGAAAGTTCAAAAGAACAGCATTTAATTGTATAAATGTTAATACTGTCACTTTTGATCAGTTTAATGTGTCCGTACATAATTAAAGTCTTTTTTAATAAATCTTATTGACCCCAATCTTAAATCTTTTGAATGGCCATTTATAACTAACAATAAGTGTTTACCCTGTCTTAAAGGTACAGTAGCAAAAACAATTCCAGAGACCTTGACTAACATTATAATTTGGCACCAGGGAACAAAACAAAAGTGATCAAATAACTGAGCCTTTTAAAAACATGATTCATCCGTGAGTGTCATCATTCTTTAATTAAAATTATAATCAGTAAAGAAAATGTTGCACCAATAGACCTTAGCAAGGTTAGAAGCCATTCTTTTTTATTTTCATTTATAGAATTTGAAGATCACATCATTTTTACTACTCACAACAAACTGTTTTAAAGGGGTGATGAACTGAGAAATCAAATTTTCCTTGAGCTTTTGACATCTAAGGTGTCATCATATTATAAGAATATCCTGTAAGTTTCACAACTGAAAATGTCCTTGTTAGTCCAATAAAAGCTTTTATTGACACCAGGCTCTGCAAACGTTTTTCAAAGTGGGGAACTATGACGTCATGGAGGATAAAACACCACCCCCGCAGTAAGATCAACGCCTACTTCAACACGGCCGGTTTAGTCCCGCCCACCGATTCACGCATTACATGCATAGCTAAATAACATAGATGCCTACCTCATGATGACAAACCGGGTCGAGAGTGAAACTCATTATAATATGCAAAACTGTTATCCACTCACAGCAGTGGGTGTTTACTTCCAAGTCTTCAGTGCGAGACGCCCAAAAAACCTAACGTTTTTGAGCTGGGCTCATAAACTAGGGTGGAAAATAGCCTATTACTTACTAATTTTGATGTTTTTGAATGCAAAAACCAAGCGAACATCTTAAATTTACCTCAGACAACAATATAATAAAATTTAAAAAGTCAGTTCATGACCCCTTTAACTGAGTTCTCGTATACCGAAAGTTTTTTTTTGAAAGACATTTCATCTGCTGATTGTTATTATAATCCACTAAACACACTGTATTCTATGATTTCTATCCTCACAGCCTCGTTTTCATTCCTGTCAAACAGTAAATACGGCGGTACCCTGACCACACTCTCTACGAAGTGAATGTGAGATGATAGATGCCGTGTGATTGTGTTCTGCAGTGATGAAGTGGAGCGTAAACTCACCCAGCACTTGATCTCAATGGCCAGATGCAGGATGATGGTGAACAGAGAGACCGTGTTCATGGGAGTGCCGAACGAGAATATGCCGATGTCTGAACCGTTGTACGTCTTGAGAAAGTACAAGCAGTGATCAGATAACAAGTTACACCAAACACATGATTCAGAAACTGACAAGAGACTGAACAGATGTTCTTACCCAGTATGGAATAAAAAAGCACACTAGACTCTGATAGAAAGCATCTAGAATTGCAATCCAAAACGTTGAACGCCTGTAGCCCTGTATCAAACGTTTCAATGTGTTACAAGACATGCAATGCTTCACCGTGGTTAGGTACTCGTAACTTGCTATGGTATTTGTTATTAAAATAATAGTTGAATGCATTTAGAAAATATAACTACAACTGCCTTGGTTGATTTAGATTTATTCTCTAACAATGTATATAAAGGAGTAGTTCACTTTTTTAAAAAAACTTTTTCTGATAATTTACTCACCCCTCATCCAAGATATCCACGTCATTCTTTCTTCAGTCGGAAAGAAATTAAGGTTTTTGATGAAAACATTCCAGGATTTTCTCCATATAATGGACTTCAATGGGAACCAAACGGTTCAAGGTCCAAATGAGAGTTTCAGTGCAAACTGTTCAAAGGGCTTTAAACGACACCCGACGATGAATAAGGGTCTTATCTAGGACCCTTCGAGTCATGATTTGTTCATTTTGATGAACGAGTTCGAACAGGAGAGTCACGAACGCGCATCACAGAACAGAGCAAGGCGACCATTTGAGCTTATAAAACTTAAACTTTTTTATTTATTTTTTAAATGACGGATCGTTTCGCTTGATAAGACCCTTATTCATCGTCTGGTGTCGTTTAAAGCCCTTTGAACAGTTTGCACTGAAACTCTCATTTGGACCTTGAACCGTTTGGTTCCCATTGAAGTCCATTATGTGGAGAAAATCCTGGAATGTTTTCATCAAAAACCTTAATTTCTTTTCGACTGAAGAAAGAAAGACATGGACATCTTGGATGGCATGGGGGTGAGCAAATTATCAGCAAAAGTTTTTTTTTTAAACGTGAACTACTCCTTTAATTTCTAAAATGAATTTTCAGTTACACTTTATTTCAATGGTCCACTTTAGACATTCTACTAACTACAAGTAAATGTGTAACTACATGTCAACTAACTCTCTTTAGAGTATTAGTAGACTGTAGTAGTTATTAGTAGTAAGTGACTGTAGTTATGGTTAGGCATTAGGGTTCGGGTTAGCTGACATGTAGTTATAGTCAGCAGAATGTTTTTTTTTTGGGGGAGCATAGAAATAAAGTGTTACTGAGTTTTCTAATAGAAATATCTTTTTAACCCAATTACCCCAGACATGAGTTAAGATAGTGATATAGTAATGATGGATTGTCAGTGCAAATTCTCACCTCTGAGTGCTGTCCTCTCTTATAGAGCTCGGGCAGGCTCAGTAAAGTGGAGTCTGACACCTCTTTGTCCATTATCCCAAACATGATGGGAGGAGCCGAGGTGAAGAGCAGGTTGAAAAATATCATGAGCCAGTAGTCGATCATGGCTGTTGCAGAGAAGCCACAGTAGAACTGATACCAGAACAGCAGATTCACATACTCCTGCGTGAGATAACACTAGTTAGTTAAACAAGTGTACATGCTAATTACTTATATTTCATTAGTGTTTTTGACCCTTAAACATGTAATGTGCAACACATACTCTTTAATCAATTGTAGGAGGCATCGGAGATAATTTGTCGTCCAATTATGTTATCATTATCATAGTTGAGTCTGTTTGGAGTACAGTATGTGGATCATGTGACTTGGTTCAAACATTTTCTGTGCTGGTTTTGTGAGTTTGACCTAAAGCCAACATGTTTAGTGCTGAACATATTCTGACTTTGTAGAAAGTAGGCATATTTTAATCTTACTTTTCTTCAGCAAAACATGCAAAACAACTGCTAATATTAATTGTGAACACTGTCTTAAGATGTTAAAAAAGGAAATAAAGTCTTAAAGGAGTAGCTCACTTTTTAAAAAAAACTTTTGCTGATAATTTACTCACCCCCATGTCATCCAAGATGTCCATGTCTTTCTTTCTTCAGTCGAAAAGAAATTAAGGTTTTTGATGAAAACATTCCAGGATTTTCTGCATACAATGGACTTCAGTGGGAACCAAACGGTTCAAGGTCCAAAAGACAGTTTCAGTGCAAACTGTTCAAAGGGCTTTAAACGAATCCAGACGATGAATAAGGGTCTTATCAAGCGAAACGATCGCTCATTTAAAAAAACAACAAAGTTTAAGTTTTATAAGCTTAAATGCTCGCCTTGCTCTGTTCTGTGATGCGCGTTCGTGACTCTCTTGTTCGAACTTGTTCATCAAAATGAACAAATCTTTTCCAGAGTCAACTCGTTCATTTCGTTCGTTGAATGATCCAAAGGACACAAAAAAAGATTTGTTCATTTTGATGAATGAGTTCGAACAGGAGAGTCACGAGCATTTGAGCTTCTAAAACTTTTTTAATGATCAATTGTTTCGCTTGATAAGACCCTTATTCATCGTCTGAATTCGTTTAAAGCCCTTTGAACAGTTTGCACTGAAACTGTCTTTTGGACCTTGAACCGTTTGCTTCCCAGTGAAGTCCATTATATGGAGAAAAATCCTGGAATGTTTTTATCAAAAACCTTAATTTCTTTTCGACTGAAGAAAGAATGACATGGACATCTTGGATGACATGGGGGTGAGTAAATTATCAGCAAAAGTTTTTCACTCGTTTCCTATACAATTGCAACAAAATTGGTTGTCATGTTGATAATTACCACATTCTTGTAGAAGAAATAGATGACCATGTTGGCCAGTCTTGAGTAGCACCAGTGTCCGTGAACCAGCAGCAGTCTTTGCAGGTGTTTAAATCGAGTGATGGCAAAATCACTGGCCATGACGGCCTGCAAGACAAACACAGCACTTAAAGTCACCATGAATTCTAAACTGACAGTTCTTTTCTTATGGAATGTTTATTGTAAATGATTTATTTGTTCACATCATTATAGTATTATTTTTAACTCTTTCCCACTAGTGTTTTTTGAAAAAAAAAATAAAAAAATGACAGCCACCACCAATATTTTTAATCATTTTCATAAAACTTTATGAATATCTAATATCTAAAGGCCCAAATATCTGAACATGCAATATATCAAAAGAAAGAACAACAAAACCCTGTTTTGTCATAACTAACCTGTTTTATTCTAATAGTGCATTTTTTTTATTAACACTTATATGTGGGTTTTATGAAATTTAAGTTGCCCGCACACTGAAAAAAATAATTAGACAGTAAAAGGTCTATCAAAAATGTATCTTTAATTTTAGAAATGATGAAGGATGGAGCAAGATTTGAGACTTTTTAAACTTTAAATTTAGTCATTCACGTTAGTGCTCGGCTAATGTATGAGCTGTTATTGATATAGTTAATGACACAGTTCCCGCAATAAATTTGAAATATACACATCGGTTTGTTGATGGATATAAACTTGTTAATCTCATAATGGATGACAAACTGAGTAGTTCATCACTGAGAAATATCCTCAAGTCGTCCTTGCGATGGAAGTTCGGGTTGAATAACTAGTTCTTCCAATGTTTCATCATCGGACTCGTACTCGCATTGATATGGTAAAAGCTATCTCTCTGTCCAGATCCCTCTGTCCAGATGAAAACTGTTGTCAGGGGGATTCCCGATAACATAGATCCGCGTAAACTTGTAATTTGGTGATGTCACTTTGTAAAGAAAGACTGTGCACCCGTGCTAATAAGCATTCAAACGCGCATACCTATTGACTAAACACGTAGTATGCGTGTGCATGGCATCACGGTTTTCACAGATTCACATTTTTGAGATGATAACGGTATCGTTTTCAAAACTTGTTTCAAAGGTATTTTAAAAAACGTCAAAGTTTGCGTTCTCAGGCCACCAAACACCATTGTTGTGTAAATGAACGGCCGGGACGCCTTCAGTTTAAGGCGGTGTTGTGTAAGCGGCCCCTAAGTTAATACCTAAGAATTTTTACAATGGCAATGAATCAATCAAAAACTTACTTAAAATGGACAATGACTTTCTTCTAGAGCAGCGACTTAACTTGACTTCACTTGACTTGACTGACTGTACTGTGTGTACAATCTCTGAGGACTGAGGAAGCCTCTGGAGCTGAAGTTCAGTTATGGTAATGAGCGATTTGCTTCTGAAACACGCTGTAAGCAGTAGACCAATCACAACAGACTGGGCAATCTGGCCAATCAGAACAGTGTAAGCTTATGGAAATGAGGGATTTAGAGACGAATCATCCAATGCATCATTTGAGAATCACTGGAAAATGTGGTGATGTCCAATGTATATTACGAAAAAAATGTAAGTGTTTTTTGTTTTGTTTTTTACTTTTGATGCACGTAAACCTGTTGTAGGAGACCAAAATTAGGAACCTTTAGAATAGCATAATATGGCAGCTTTCAAAATATTAACGTGCCCCTCCCTCATTTTTTTTCTCATTCAGGAAGCTGTTTCACTCAGATATGCATCACAATATGAAAGAAACATCGTTCACAATGGAGACACACTTAAAACACACCTGATGCAGTCAAACAGAAAATCCCTCTTTAAAAATAAATGTCTTATTGATTGATACATTTCAGTGCCTTACTTCACCAACGATTTGGTTACAAAACACAAAAAACACAAACCTGCATTCCCTCTTGTCCAGAAACCCCAATGCCAACATCTGCAGCTTGAATCATGTTCACATCATTGGCGCCGTCACCTAAATCGACACAAATCATAATGTAGCAGCACAACAGAAAACCAGTGTACTTCACAAACCTGCACAAAAGTAATCTTATAAATGATTTCATAAACCCATCCACCTCAATTCAAAGGTTTCATTACCTATAGCGAGGGTCATGACCCTCAGTTTCTGCCGTATGAGTTTGACCACACTGCTCTTCTGCAGCGGCGTCACTCGACAGCAAAGCACCGCACGGCAGTGTTTGCAAAGCTCCACAAACTGCTCCACCAGGTCGTCTGACATGGCCATGCTCAGAGTCGGCCCATCTATCACCAGCCCGATGCTGTGCTCCGTCATCGTAAACGCAGAGTTATTACCCCTGAACTGGACATCTCCTGCGGGTGACAGGGAACTCCGTCGCACCTCTCCCAGTGTGTCCTCTAACCTCATTTTACACAAAGACTGCAATATAAAACAAGAATTGTGTTAGTATTTGAACTTCAAAAACATATATCCACATTATTTATTGCAGTGGAAAATGCATACGTTTGCAATATAATGTCAATGATGAACAGGTAATTCAGTGTACAATACCGTTTTTTATGCTCACCAAGGCTCAAAAAATACTGTAAACAATAACCGTGTGATCGGTGTGAAACATTATTGCAATTTAAAATAATAGTTTTCAATGGAAGCTTATTATTTCTGCCAAAGAATAATAAATAAATAAAATAAAATAAAAAGATAACTTTTTTTGATTAAGTAAGATTTGATTTATATAAACCTGAAATTTTGAGTTGCAAGATTGCGAGTTATAATTGTAAGAGTCGGAATTGTGAGATAAGAAAAAAGTATTTTTCCCCCTTCAGAATTGAATTCAAGACTTTATGACTTGCAATTGTGTTTTTTTTTAATCAAAATTATGAGAAAAGATGTGAGAACTAAAAGTCAGAATTAACTTGCAACTGCGAGAAAAAAAGGTTTATATCTCACAATTCTGACTTTATATCACAATTTCAAGATTGGGTCTAAATCTCGCAATTCTGAGAAAAAAAGTCACAATTATCTTTTAAATTGTTTTTTTCCGTAGAGGAAACAAGCTTCCATAGTTTTCTATTTTAATATATTTTAAGAGCCCGACCGATAAAGGATTTTGAGGCAGATACCGATAAAAATATTTGTTGGTTTTAAAATCCGATATTCCGATATATCGGCCGATATTTTTTTTTTTCAGAAACCCACAACAAAACATTAATAGATTTCCCTAACATTAGTTATACTTAGTTATTTATGAGTTTTAACTAAAATAATATGATAATGCATTTTAAAAAGAAACTTGTTCCTTTTATTGTCACAACAGAACAGAATGATGACAGTGGTATTAGCTAGCTTTGTGGTTAGTCTGTGATGAGCCATAATTTAGCAGTGGATAACGTCATACTGTAAATTTTAAAACATACATTTTCAATAAAACAGGCCAAGGAGAGACGATACATCTCTAGGAAAGTCAGTCAACTACACTGTAACAACATAACGTAACTATTACTAGCTAATTCCGCTTCACTCTCGACTTATTTAACAGCAGCAAAACTGGACATGATGGTCACAAATTTTGTCATGCTTATTTGAGTTAAGAGACCTGATGGAGATGTTCTTTTAATTGTTATTCATGCAATGTATGTCTCGTGACCAACTCAATGAGTGTTGCCAGTTGACGGTGCCCTCTGGTGGACAAACTATACAACTCCAACACTCATGACATGGTTTAAGCGTGTTTCATGCGTTTTTATTTTAATTTTGACATATTCATTTATCAGCCATTATAACTGTCGATACCGATAGTTTGGAAAATGCATAATATCAGCCTGCCGATATATCGGTCTGGCTCATTTATTCCAGTGAATTTTCAGCATCATTTCTCCAGCCGATCCTTCAGAAATCATTCTGATATACTGATTTGCTTCTCAAGAAATATTTCTCGTTATTATCTATGTTGAGTTCATATGCTTCATCTTTAGTGAAAACCATTTTTTTTCCAGGATTCTTTAATGAATAAAAAGTTCAAAAGAACAAAATGTATTTGAAATGAAAATCTCTTGTAACATTATACATTTTTTTACTGTCCCTTCTAATCATTTTAATGCATCCTTACTAAATAAAAATATTAAGCCAAAACACCTTAATATTAATATTAATATTAAGACCCCAAACGTTTGAATGGTAAGGTGTTTTAACTACTATATTGTATTCTTTTACATCCATTTTTAGTTTAAATGAAATTCCGTTTTAGACAAGCCAAAAATATGACGGATTTTCTAAGCCAATGAGTTTTAAGCTGTGATAATTCATTTTCCATCATGGCTTCAGTTTGCCGTGAAGATCAACTGCAGCATCTGGCTCCGAAAACTACAGCTGTCTTGTTATCACATGTGCATTGTGGAACATGTTGTTAGCATGATGTCACATCAAGTTGGGCAGCATTGCAAATCTAAAATGAGATTATCTTGCAATGACAGCAAGACCTAATTAATATTCATGAGTTGTGACATCACAATGTCACGAGGCACCCCATCCTTCACTGCTATATATTATACAAAACATGACTGGTTGGAGCATATATCTAGGTTAAAGTCATGTCAAAATTAAATTTCAGTTGCTCCCCATTTCACTGTTACATAAATGGCTTATGAGTATATCATCTTTCACACAGATTTCTATTCCGGGAACGAACTAATATACAAGATGATGGCAAATAAATTGTGTTACCTTAAAAAAATACTACTTAGACAACAGAAATAGAAGGTTTTAGATGCATAAGATGGGGGATTTCATTAAATGTGTGTGAAACAATATGTGAAAGTCTTCAGTAAGGGATTTAATGTTGAAATGGAACTAGAATGGTTTCCTGCCCTCCTCAGAAGTGTGAAAATGGGATTACAGAGCACCAATATGAGCCATTCAGAATGGTGAATGCACTTTTTCTCAGCTCTCTTAAACACAGACTCAGGCAGACATGAAATGAAAAACAGCATATCTGACAAATTATTGCAAGCGCATTTATGTGTTTGAACACGCTATGTAGAACTTCACTCTTGAGGGGATGAAACTGTACAACACTGTAGACTCTGTTGTCCCAGATAAACCAATTAACCCTTTTCCTTTTGTGCAAGTTCAGTGTTTTAAAGGGATAGTTCACTTTGAAATTAATTTTTGGTATGTTTTAGCTTACCTCAAGGGCATCCAAGATGTAGGTGTCTTTGTTTCCACAGCGTTTTCAATTTTGACATTTTTTGGTCAAACCGTTGTTGTCTGTCAGTCATACACTGGGGGCTAAGGGGGTCCACCAAAAAGCATGCACAGAGAAGTCCAAATTAAACATGATTTAATGACTCATAAATGTAAGTACACATTGATGGCCTAAGACACGAAACGAGCGGTTTGTGTGAGAAAACTAACAGTATTTATATCGTTTTTACCTCTTGTAATCATAGCCATGCCAAAATGATCTGCTGGCACGGGCGCTTCGGTCTGCGCATGCGCTGGAAGTGATCGCTTGCGCGCCTGCGTCACTCTTTGTTTATAGAGAGATTTCGGAAGTTTTACCTTTCACTAAACATATTTAGATATATGGGAAACCGCAATAGAAGGCGATTTTGGTATATCTAAATATTTTTAGTAAAAGATAAAACTTCCGAAATCTCCGTGTAAATATTGAGTGACGTCACACGCAGGCGATCACTTCCGACGTAACATTGAACTGATTCAGTTCGGTTCAGTTGGACATTGAACAACTGATTCAGATCACTGTGATTACACGAGGTAAAAACGATATAAATAGTGTTCGTTTTCTCACACAAACCGCTCGTTTCGTGTCTTAGGCCATCAATGTGTACTTACATTTACGAGTCATTAAATCATGTTTAATTTTGACTTCTCTGTGCATGCTTTTTGGTGGACCCCCTTAGCCTCCAGTGTATGACTGATATACAACAACGGTTTGACTGAAAAATGTCAAAATTGAAACTACTGTGGAAACAAAGACACCTACATCTTGGATGCCCTTGAGGTAAGATAAAACATATCAAAAATGAATTTCAAAGTGAACTATCCTTTTAAGTCCCAAACCATCAACATGCTCATATAGAGATATGGTCGATCTTGTTGAAAAGACTCTATGTTAATGCGATGTTGAGCATATATATATATTTTTTTTTTTTTGATGAAGCTGGTTGACTAATAGAGGTCAAATCATTGGAAGGAGTGTCTGGTCTGTTCAGTGATAAAATCATTAGTTAGTTGGCACCGAATGGCACAGTGTCAGATCAACTACCTTCCTGTTTGTGCTGAAGGTGAACACCAGGTCTTCTTGGTCTAGCAGCTTGCAGGAGTATGCGATATTGATAGCCGTCTCAGGTTTGTCCCCTGTCAGCACCCAAACCTGCATACCAGCCCGTCTCAGAGCCTGAATGGTTTCTGGGACATTTTCTTGGAGACGGTCCTCAATGCCGGTGGCCCCTGTGGGCATAAGAAGTAAATGGATTAAAGGGATAATTCACACAAAAATGAAAATTCTCTCATCATTTACTCACCCTCATGTCGTTCCAAACCTGTATGAGTTTCGTTCATCTTCAGAACACAAATCAAGATGTTTTTGATGAAATCTGAGAAATCTCTGTCCCTCCATTGACAGGTATGCAAGTACCACTTTGACGCTTCAAAAAGTTTATAAAGAGATAGTAAAACTAATCTATCTGATTTGAGCAGTTTAGCCCAAAAGAGAGAGATGAACAGATATGATGAACAGATTTAATTTAGGCTTTTCACATATAATTCACATATCAGCGAACATAAACTGAAGCTCAAACAAACCTGCTTGACATGCGAGAACAGAAACACAAACATGCTGCGTAACACGAGAATGAACCTCATTGGTTCTTGCTGAAGCTCAAACGTGATGCGTAACATGAGAGTGAACCTAATTGTCTCTCGCCGAAGCTCAAATGTGATGCGTAACATGAGAATGAACCTCATTGGGTCTCGCTGAAGCTCAAACGTGATGCGTAACACGAGAATTAACCTAATTGGCTCTCGCTGAAGCTCAAACGTGATGCGTAACACGAGAATGAACCTAATTGGCTCTCGCTGAAGCTCAATTGTGATGCGTAACAAGAGAATGAACCTCATTGGCTCTCGCTGAAGCTCAAATGTGATGCGTAACACGAGAATAAACCTCATTGATTCTCACATGTCAAGCAAACATGATTGAATAATTGAATAAAAGCCTAATTTCAATTTGTTCATCAGATAAAGCGATCGCAAAAAGTTTGACTAACCTGATTCATATAGATTCATTTTCCGATCTCTTCATGGACTTTTTGAAGCTTCAAAGTGGTAGTTGTGTAGCTGCTAATAATGGACAGAAATCGCTCCGATTTCATCAAAAAGATCTACATTTGTGTTTCGAAGATGAATGAAAGTCTTACAGGTTTGGAACGACATGAGGGTGAGTAATTAATGACAAAATTTTCATTTTTGGGTGAACTTAGGGTTGCCAACCGTTCCGTATAATATGGAATCGTTCCGTATTTGACACATAAATGTCTTGTTCCGTATTAAACTGATATGGAACGCACTTTGTTCGAGAATTAATTCAGTGCAAATCCATGACAGACACATAGCTTCTAACATATGTCAGTCAGACTATGAAAGAACGAAGACCTGCTATAATGGAAAATTAGGGGACTTGGCACCCCCTTGGTGGGCTCTGACGTGTAATGACCTAGAGTTGTCTCATTGGTCGAACGTCAGAGGCGCCCGCGCCATTGGATGTGCAGTTGCTGCATCACAGCCTATGAGCGAGCCAGACGCTCAATGTGCAGCTGCAAATGCGTTTTACGTATAGGCTTCAGTAGATAGAGGAAAGGGAGTTTCCGAAGACATTTGTAGGCTATGATAAGAAAAGCTACTGAATTAAAAATATTATTTTTTCCACTTACACTCTCAGAAAAAAAAGGTACAAAAGCTGTCACTGGGGCTGTACCTTTTCAAAAGGTAAACTTTTGTACCCAAAGGCTGCATATTGGGACCTTAGTGGTACATATTAGCACCTAAAATGTACATATTAACACCTAAAATGTACATATTAGTACCTAAAATGTACATATTAGTACCTAAAGTGAACATATTAGCTCATGAAATTGACATATTAGCACCTAAAATGGACATATTAGCACCTAAAATGTACGTACCTAAAATGGACATATTAGCACCTAAAATGTACATATTAGTACCTAAAATGGACATATTAGCTCATGAAATGGACATATTAGCACCTAAAATGGACATATTAGCACCTAAAATGTACATATTAGTACCTAAAATGGACATATTAGCTCATGAAATGGACATATTAGCACCTAAAATGGACATATTAGCACCTAAAATGTACAATGACAAAAGTTTACCTTTTGAAAAGGTACAGCCCCAGTGACAGCTTTTGTACCTTTTTTCTGAGAGTGTTGAAAGAAAATTCTAGAAGTCTAATTCTATTGAATAAGTTCGCACAAGGCTATAACAGAAAACTGTGGTTTATTTTTCTTCAAATGCAGTCTAAGTCAACGAGTTTTGAATGTTATAATGTTTTATTTGTTGAAATTAAAAATAAAACATATTATAAACTAAAAAAATCAGGGTTTATTGTTGGCAAAATGATCATGATAGCTTTTAGATATCTAGCTAGCCTATGTGCTCATGGTCGGCAATTTATTTCATGTCACAAAACTCTCATTACTTCAACATGTTTTCAGACTGTGACATTGAATGTTATTTGGAAGTTTAGGATGACACTCATTAATAGTCTTTAACTGTACCCAGCAGAGTTAAGTTGTTCTCTATGTAGGTTGCAGTGTCCATAAGGCGCTCTTCTTTCTCATCAATGGCTGACAGTGCCTCCTGTCTGATAGCAAACCAGGCCTTGAACTCCTTTTCACTGATAACCTTCAGAGAAAAACACAGAGCTTTTCATGAGCAAAACTGTTAAACTGTTTTCAGATAGATTTAGCCGTACATTCTGCAAAACTTCTACCTTTTTGGCAAAGCACAGCGTTCGTAATCCATCCCTGGCGTACATATCAAGGTCTTTTTGAGTTTTTACAGCAATTTGCTTCGCCACATTATCCACTTGTGACGTATCTGTGGAAAACAAACGACACACTTACATTCAAATCTGCCACATTGACATTTCGATTACAACATATTTCAATGCTGGAGGATTTTCATGAATAAAATCATAATATCATCATATGATGTGTGGAGACTTGGAAGTGCACAAGCCATATGGAACATTATTATCATGTGTTTTTGGAGATTATCATTCATCAGCATCATTTTTTTCTCTATTTGTTTTTTCATGAATAAAAAATGAATTATATATTTTAATAGTTTAAGTAAAGGAAAATCTAATGATGCTGAAATTTCAGCTTTGTATCAGGAATAAATGACATTTTCAAATATAGTCAAATAGAAATGGGTTTTTTTAAATTCTAATAATATTTCACAATAAATGTAGCCTTACTGGCCCCAAACTTTTATAGGATGCTGGTAAATTCTAATGATTCTGACTCAGTGATTCTGATTCATGCTCACTTGAAAAAACGTTCCCCAGTCTTTCCATGATGGCTGAATCAGCTCCTTTACTATACATGATGATTTCATTGGTGTGTGGGTGTCGTACTATTATGGACATCCTCTTCCGAGTCGAGTCAAAGGTCAGGACGTCCAACACCTCAAACTTCAGCAGGGTATCATCAGGCAGCTTGACGGTCACGTAATAAGGAGTGCGTTCCACCATTGTGAACCCATAAGCCTTTGCTGCGTGTATCAGGGCGGCCTCATCTGGGCTGTGGGCCTCATAACACACCTCCTCTGTTCTAGACAGACTGTGTTTAACCTCACTTCCACTTGAGATGACCTTCTGCTCTGTGGTTGAGTCTGAGACATCAGAGCTGTGAAACAGGTCAGGCTCGTCTTCATCTTTGGCGAAAGGATCTGCGAGTGTCTCCCTGCCTCTCTTGAAGAACTTCATGGAGCTGAAAACGTTCCTCAGGGAACCCTTTCTGAACCACTGTCCCATAATATGAAATGAACCACTGGAGTCTGCAGAGTTACTGAGCCCTTTGACCTGGAAAAATACATACATTTATTTGCATGATAGATTCTTTATACTAGCATACTACTGACTGCATTATTACACTGCCCTATTACTGAATTATTAATCTTTTTTGATGTAAGACCTGGCCAAGTTGCATGCCAATTTAGTGAGTAGAGTTATCACATTATCTGAAATAAATATGGCTATTTTTATTTCTAATTAAGTCTTTTTCAAAGTCTGTTTAAATTACGAATCAAGGAAGAAGTTAAAAAAACTGTGGCTAATGTAATGCATTGCATAGTGGTATACAGTATCCATGCAGTGCATTGGGATCTATTGTACACTACACTTTTAGTCAAATGCAGTAGCTGTTTCTCATTCCGTGCTTAGCATATGTGTGACAGAAATAGCATGCATAGTGTGATAGCATGCTTTTTGAACACAGCCTTATTCTTTCTCAACAATGCATGTGCAAGTTGGATGTGCAGTGAAATATTAGATCAGCGTTCAAAAGTTTGTGATCAGTATGATTTAATAACTTACTTTTATTGACCAATGTTACATTAAATTGACATTAATTAAATATATGATGTTACAAAATATTACTATTTCAAATAAATTATGATCTTTTGACCTTGAAAACTGTCTCAAGGTTTCCATAAATATATCAAGCAGTTTTCAACATTGATAACATCAGCATATTAGAATGATTTCTCAAAGGAGTAGTTCACTTTTGCTGATAAAAAAAAAAAAAACTTTTGCTGATAATTTACTCACCTCCATGTCATCCAAGATGTCCACGTCTTTCTTTCTTCAGTCGAAAAGAAATTAAGGTTTTTGATGAAAACATTCCAGGATTTTCTCCAAATAATGGACTTCAATGGGAACCAATCGGTTCAAGATCCAAATGAGAGTTTCAGTGCAAACTGTTCAAAGGGCTTTAAACGACACCTGACGATGAATAAGGGTCTTATCTAGGACGCTTTGAGTCATGACTCGAAAAAAGATTTGTTCATTTTGATGAACGAGTTCGAACAGGAGAGTCACAAACGCTCATCACAGAACAGAGCAAGGCGATCATTTGTGCTTATAAAACTTAAACTTTTTTATATATTTTTGAAATGCCTGATCTTTTCACTAGATGAGACCCTTATTCATCGTCTGGTGTTGTTTAAAGCCCTTTGAAGCTGCACTGAAACTCTCATTTGGACCTTGAACCGTTTGGTTCCCAATGAAGTCCATTATATGGAGAAAATCCTGGAATGTTTTCATCAAAAACCTTAATTTCTTTTCGACTGAAGAAAGAAAGACGCGGACATCTTGGATGACATGGAGGTGTGTAAATCATCAGCAAACGTTTTTTTAAAGTGAACTATCCCTTTAAAGATCATGTAACACTTAATCTGAAGTAACATGACAAGAATAAATGACATTTAATATATTAACATAGACAAGTTTTTCATTTTAAATTGAAATAAAATTTCACAATATTTTTTTTAACTGCTTTCGATCAAATAAATCCAGCCAAAAAAAAAATACTAACCACGAATGGGAGTGTACATATTGATTACTTGTAAAATTACAAATCTATTTTCTGCAAATATAGCTGTAGAAGTAGTATTTATTTGCACTATATAAGTCACGGTTATTGTATAATCCATTTGGAAATGAATCAGTTAAATCGGATTTTCTGTATAACTGTGTTCTGCTAATTATGATAAAACATTGCAAATATTGAAACGCTCTAATAATCCAGTTCTTCAGGTACTGTGGATCTGCATACATTGTGACTGCCTCTTAAGCTGTGATGGACCCAGGGTGATACAATCATGCTCCATTGGTAATCAACTTAATTAACGTTGACCCAATGTCTTTGAACGTCTCAGTGCTACAGGTCTGAGGCCAAATATAATTTCTACCCTGGACAAAGTACTTTGCTCGGGGTCCTCAAGTGCAATTTGGGAAATTAGCACTGACCAGCAGTGAAGGATACTCAGCTACGCTAAACTTCTCTCACAGACTCAACTCATTACAGACGTGTGGGGTGGGCTTGGGGGACGCCCGACTGATGAAAAATCTAATTGCCTCCACCGAGTGACCCATTGGCGCTTGCTTGAGAATTAAAATGTAGTAATTACAAAACATACCACTGGGGTGCGAAGCACTAGCCAAAGAAAAATAAGTCATTCAGGGGCAGCAATAAAAAAAAAATCTCTGGGCAACGAGTATGCGGCCACAGGTAATAATTTACATAATTTACATGGTAGGCTATTATTGTTATTGTTTTGACATGAGTGCCGTTTTTTTTGTGTTGTGAGTCAGAGCCCCCAACCCTCTCGGCTCCAGCAAGGTCAGTGCCGTCGCACGCTCTCACCCTCTGTCTCTGGGCCGTCGCTGTGGAAACCACGACGGTGTTGCAGATGGCCAAAGCCAGAAAAAAGTCCAGGTAGGGCCCGCTCAGGATGCTCGCCATCTGACGGTCCAACTCCAGCATCAGCTTCCTGTCTGGAACCACCACTGTTTCCTGTTTGAGGAAATATGAATGGTTAGGCGCGTATCCGATTACATCATTCACAGCGAGACCATGTGGTATGTTTCCATAGGTGGAAAATGACACGATCATACAACAACAAAACACGCAACGTCATACGAGGAGGCAGCGGGACGCGAGACAATCTGTACAGTATCAGTAGCCCATGTTTAATGCACCCCAGCAGCCCCATATGTCAACAGATCGAAACATAGCGGATCAGAGCCAGCATTGCTGTGCTCATAACTGACACCAAACTGCTCGGCCATCTGCGGGGCAGACCGTGAGCATGCAGGGGAATGGAAGGAAGATGGGTCAGGGGCGAGACGTCAGAAATTACACACTTCAGCTCTAGTCAAATAATTTAACCGTGGGGAATTGATGGTGTCATTTCCATTAATTGATAATTTTATTGACTGGGTATCTGAGAGGAAATTTGGTTTGTCAGTTTCAGAGGAAGTTCACGGGGGTAACAACTGCATTCTACAACAGAATTAACTCCTAAAAAATTCAGGTTGTGACAAACGTGCATTTAGTAAAAAAAATGTCTAGGACTAGTAATTAATGGCTTATTTAAATGCGCATGTTTCTCTTTTTGTATGGACAGGAAAAACTAGACTAGAGTCTCATTTGTGTTGCCAGATTTTGCTAGTACAAAGAAAAGGTCCATTATATAAACCTTGACAAATCAAAATGCTTTATATTTAAAAAATATATATATATATATATCCACCTAATTTAATTTACACTGCAATGTCGTCAAATGACATCCAGCTCCCCCTAACGGGTGTAGCTTAACCTAGTTTTGTTTAGGGATATGATTATGGGTAGGGTTAGGGTGTGGTTTAACCTTTAAAGGCACACTATGCAGGAATTCTGTTTTTGTCAAACAGCGACCCCTAGAGTCTAATAAATCGTATCATTTAAGATGCTATAAAGTGGTATTGGTAGCTAATAGTAATTGATTAGTATGACACTAAAATAAATTATATTGCATTGGATGAATGAATATATGAATTTGAATACCTGAATCATATCAGGGGACAGGGAGCCTTTTTAAATTCACTGACACCATTAAATTAGTCTGTGCCCAAACATAGTAAAAACGTTGAAGTACAATAAATTGGAAAAAACTTAATTGCATAATGCTGAATTAAAGCAAGTTAATCATGTGGAAATACTTTCCATGATTTTTTTCATGTTCATTCAAAGAGTTATTTTTATGAGTGTATCAATAGTCTATTTTTATTTTTATTTTTAACCGAAACTAGGACTGCAGATATACAAACCGTAAACAAAGCAGCAGAGCTTGTTCACCATTTTCAATATCAATCACGCTGATCACTTTCTTCATTCCAGTCGGCTCATGTCATTATTATAATATTCGTGCATTCCAATGCTCAGGTAAGATGGCGTAAAATTATAACAGCTTTTGTCTGTACCATTTGCCCTCATTCATCACTTTTGGCTTTTATTCTCTTCTCATTCGCTAAGCTGAACAGCCAATCAGAGTTCTCTCTTACACCGTCGGCCCGACGCCGATTCAACTTGCCCCAAAAAAAAAAACAGCCTAGATCGAAAGGTGGAACTCACCAAAAAAACTAAGCTGACTGATGCTCAAAAACTGCCTGACATTGTCAGACGACACGCCGTCAACGAACTTGACATGTCCCGCCTTTAAGCTCCTGTCCAGAGAGAATGTCAAGCTCCAACCATTAATTTACACAACAACTGCGTTTTTGGGGCTTGAAAATATGAACTTTAGAAATCTGGATTCAAAGTGCAAGTTTTTGAAAACGATACCGTTAACGTCTTTGTGTAAACAACAAAAACATGTGTATGCGTACCTATTACGTGTTCAGTCTATAGGGGGCTTTGTTTCGTTACAAAGTGACATTTTCGTTAATAATAACACAGAATTTTCTGTCATTTTCGAGGATCAGTGTGAACTGGGATAGATTTGTCATTCTGTACACTCAAAAACACAAAATAAAAACGTTTCAGTTTTTAGAACATCGTTGTCGTGCAAACGTACCCTAAATTGCCACCACATCGAAATATCCAGCTAATTTTAGGAGAGCATGAAAAAGACGTTTCTTTCAAAACAAATCATCCTGAATTCCCAATCTTCACCCTGAAACACAGATATCATCAGCATCTTCTGATCTATGATCTCACCAGAGGAGTGCTGAAGGCCATGTCACTTTGGGCTCCCGCTGCCGCTCTTGATCTGCGTCGATTGGCAGCTGTGACTTGAGTGTTGGCGTGATTTTTGTCTCCTGTGTGGCTGTCCTGTAATTCTTCCAGAGGGAAGAGAGGAGGAAGCTTTGTCTGTTGGTAGAGAGTGTCTTCCTCCTCTTCATTTGCACCACTGACAACTGCCAAGCGAGCAGCTGAGGGATGCCAAAAATAAAACCTGTCCTTATTATTCCTCAAGATAATATTAACAATAAACAGCAAACATATTGAAACACTGAACTGAAACACAAAATGGTCATAAAAAACAACAAAATGGTCATGAACAAAATCAAAATAGAAAAGATAAATACCGTAGAGCAATAAAAACGTATAAAAAAATGTAAAAAAGAAAAGAAGAACGAAGCGCACCGTTCTCCTCGTGACAGTATTCAGTCCCCACAATGGTGCAGCGTCTGAATACCATCTTGTTTTCTGTAAGCGTCCCTGTCTTATCTGAGAAGACATATTGGATCTGTCCCAAGTCTTCTGTGATGTTCAGAGCACGACACTGGACCCGACTATCCAGCTCCTCGTCGTAAAGCTCCACGTCCTGAGTGATGAAGAAGATCTGCCCAATCTTCACCAGCTCAATGGACACATACAAGGACACAGGAATCATCACCTAGAGAGAAAGTCCTGGAATCATTAGTGTTAAAGGTACAATATGTAGGATTTTTTTGCAGTAAAATATCCTAAAATCACTAGGCCAATGTTATATATTTTGTTTAGTTGATTACATACAACATCCCAAAGGTTTCCAACTATTTATAAATCGTGAGAAAATTGCGATTTTAACCAAGGAAACGGCGTGAGGAGTCACCAGTCAATGGCGTCATATCCACGTTATCCCCGCAAGGTTTGACCTCGTACGCAATAGTAACCATGGCGACAGACGTTGACAACTGGGTCGGTTATGCCCGTTATGCGTGCTCAACAGCGTGAGCGTCCCTAGCAGGGTTTTGTTCAAACATTATGGACCATGGCAACCATGATGCCGAGAGCTCCACGTCCGCGACTAACTTCGACTTAGAGACGCGAGTGTTGCATGTTACTTGAGAAATCAGGTGAGCGAATTAATGTATATAAAACTAATCAATGTTATATAGTTCAACATGATGAAAAGTTAGAATATGATCTGTGTGTTATTCTCTAATGTTAATCTAGCTTAGTCTCGAACAACCAACAAACAACCTAACTAACAACATTCAACACACTCAAATGCCGTTTAGTGTGATAGTGAAACTGTTAGAGCGAGTGAAGCAGCGCTGCGTTACTTCAAGTTTAATTCCTCTAATAAACTGACCTGTGTGAGTAATTCAGCGTGTAGTTCGGGAGAATGAAATGTCCTTATTCGTTTATGTCTGCGGTACTCGCGTTGCGTGTGGCGCTGGTATACGTCTAGCAGAAACATCAATGTGTTCACTCATCCATAAAAGATCCATAAGCTTGACGACAAGATCCATAATTCCGCTTAATGCAGAATATACTGTACGTCATTAATATACGTCTTTGCAATTGTAAGAGGTTAGCGACCCCTGGTGGCGAAACAATCTTGCATATTGTACCTTTAAGAGCCAGGTAAACACCTGTGATGCCAATCTTAAGCTTGATGGAAAATGTATTAGCAGAACGAAAATGCTTAACCTTCAGGAGACCGATTGTCAATATATTTATATTTATTTGATATGAGATTGGCAACTCTTTCAACATCGTTAACACAATGTGGGATGTCTAAATAGAGGTTAAAATCCGAGTCAATGAAGGTTCATAAAGGCAGTTTTCGCAGTGATGCATAGCAGAGCCATTTTAGCCTTTTATGGTAAATTCATGTAAACCTATTAGTAGCAACTGGCCGTTACTTTCACTAAATGTCTTTAACATATCCCATGTGTGACAGATTGTGTACCTGCAGTAAGATGATCATTGTGAAGAACATGTAAAATCCCGCAAGTACCGAAGGAGTATAATTGCCATTTCTGTCAGGGACGATGTATGAGGGCATGGTGCTAAAAGTTTCCAACCAGATAGAATGGCCTGAGAGACATTTACATTCATTAATGACATTGCTTTTGACAGTACTGTATTACAATAAGGCAGATATTCCAATAAAGCATCATTGAACTTGAAGCAGAGAGAAAGACAGCGAGGATAATCATTGCTTTCACAAGAGACCAGTGTATGAGGGAGCTATTCTGGGTATCTGTAGTGTCCTTCTTTGACTCATGCCTTACAGACGGAAAAGGGTTGTGTGAGGTTGTAAAAGCACTTTATTCTTTATCTCTGTAGACCGTTGTGAGATCAGAAAAGAGCAGACACGGACCGAAGTGTCTTGGAGTTCAGAATCAAAGTGTCATTTCGGAGCTTGTATGTTGAAGTAATGTGCGTGTAGTGCGTTTTGAATTATCGAGGGGGATGTTCCCCGTACTGTACCCAGGGCTCCGATGAGACACATGAAAAATAGAAGAAGCACGCAGAAGAGAACATCCGTATTCATCTTCCTCTCAATCTTGCTGCGTTTGTACCTGGGCCCGCTGTTGTTTAACATGGATTTGGTCTCCTGGCCTGTAATGAATAACTCATGATGTAAAAACAGCAACATTTGTAAAAGAGCAACACCCATTTACAAGCCATACCGTGTGTATAATTTATCAAGGGAGAAATAGTGGGCTACAGACAATGCCATTTTCAAGACACAAGTACACTGCGAGTGAACAAACTATAATACCCACATTACAATCAACTAAGCCGTCACGCGCGTTTGCGCTATAGACGGCTTCATTGATTATAATGGGAGAACGTTTTGGTTTTTTGCGTCACTGCCAGTGTAAATGGGATGTTAAAGACTTAAGAGAAAAAAAACGAGTCTGGCTTATTGCGCTATTAGATTTTAGAGTCACAGTATATTAGGTTTTATCGTTATGGATGATGATGGACGAAAATGTACAATGTGGTTTATAAAAACAAAAGAGCTTACAGATGAAATATGAATCTTATGACAGATGATAAAACTAAAGAAAAGAATGTGAAAGTGGTTAAAGTTTGGGATTGGTAATATTTTCCAATGATTTTTTATGTGTCTCTTATGCTCAGAAATGCTGCATTTATTTGAAGGAAAAAAAACAGTAATATTATTATAATTTTAGAAGGACTGTTTTGTATTCTTAAATATTGATAATGTATTCATTACTTGAGTCTTTTGTGTCACATGATCCTTCAGAAATCATTTTAATTTGCTGCACAAGAAACATTTCTGAATATTATTAATGTTGAAAACTGTGCTTCATATATTTTTGGGATAATATTATTTTTTTCAGGATTCTTTGATGAAGAGAAAGTTCTAGAAAGTTTTTTTTTTTTAAATGTAACATTACGAATGTCTTTAATGTCACTTTTGATCAATTTAACGCATCCTTACTGAATAAAACTGTAAAAACAATTGAATAAACAATACATTTTACATTTAAAATTTTTTTTTAACATTTTTTCTTTTGTCAAATTAACTTAGATAATTTATGTAGTTCAGATAAATTAATATTTTGAGTTTCAGGTGATTAAATGAATCTCCTTCATTGTATTAACTCAATTTTTCCATTTCTGAACTTAAAATTTTTTTTTTTTTAAGTTAAACCAACAATATTTAATGGACATTTACTATCACAAAAAAAGAAGTATCATGGTTAACAGCACCATGACTAATATCAAAATATCCTTGTGTGGTACATCCACATTACTATGACTTTACTATGCTTTGTTACTTTATTAAAAACAATAAATGTTTAATGTGCATCTCCACAAATGTTTGTATATGTAGTGTATTTTAGTGTATCCCATGTGAACACACAGTTCTGTGGAGGGTATGTGAAATGTGATGAAATGTACCTGCGTACACCACTATTCCAGTTGCGTCATCAGTATTTCTCACTGTGCACCCGCGCAGCAGAAGACTATCGATGCCGAAGCCTGTTCTCCTCTTATCAGGCCTCTCCCTGTGACATCAAACACAGCATCTTCCTTAGTCACCCAGACTAATTACCTCAGTGTGTGCCACGTGAGTAACGGGCCCGTCTTTGAATGGAAGAGCAGGATAAGAGCTTTATAATGCTTGGGAACATCACAATCATCTCTCAGCGTGATAAACCAGTTAATATGACTGCAATGGGACCAAAAAAAGGGCCAAATCGGTTTGTCAGCCTACTTTATGTCCAGGCTGTGTGGGGAAACTTTACAACGGCAATTTAAACCTGTGATGTCTGTGTAGGTAGAGAGGTTATACATCTATGATCTTTGAGCCTTATTTGTTGTAGACGAATGTCCTCTTTATATTTTGTATTTATAATTATGACAAGATGGATTCAACATGGCAGATGGCATGGCAACTGCTGATGCATCAACCTCTCAGATATATTGCAGTGGACTATGGAAGCCCATTTCATGCTTTGGTAAATCATAATAATGACATGGTAAGTCATAATTATGAGATAAAAAGGCAGAATGATGAGATAAAAAGTCAAAATGATGACATACTAAGTCATATTTATGAGATTTAAAAGTCGAAATTATTAAAAAGCTGACATTATGAGATAAAATCAAAATTATGACACGCTATATCATAATTATGAGATAAGTCAAAATGATGACATACTAAGTCATATTTATGAGATTTAAAAGTCGAAATTATTAAAAAGTTGACATTGTGAGATAAAGTCAAAATTATGACACGCTATATCATAATTATGAGATAAGTCAAAATGATGACATACTAAGTCATATTTATGAGATTTAAAAGTCAAAATTATTAAAAAGTTGACATTGTGAGATAAAGTCAAAATTATGACACGCTATATCATAATTATGAGATAAGTCAAAATGATGACATCCTAAGTCATATTTATGAGATGAAATAATTGTGAGATAAAGTCAAAATTATGACACGCTATATCATAATTATGAGATAAGTCAAAATGATGACATACTAAGTCATATTTATGAGATGAAATAATTGTGAGATAAAGTCAAAATTAAGTCATAATTACGAGATGAAAAAATCTGAATTGCAGTAAATAATTAAGTAAAAAAGTCATAATCATGACACTCATAATTCTCACTGTTATGTCATATTTATGATGTAAAAACTAAATTATAAGATAATTTAAAATTATGACATGCTAAGTAATACATATATGAGATTAAAAATAAATAAATTAGGACATACTAAGTACATTTTCACTTTTTATGCCATATTATGTCATAATTATTATATTAAAAAGTTGAAATGATGACTTTTAAATTAAGTTCTTAATTTTTTTGTTTTGTGTGTCATTATGAGATAAAGTCGAAATCACGACTTAAAATGACTTTTTATGTCATAATATTTTTTACTTTTCATCCCATAATTATGACTCATTATGTCATGATTTGACTTTTTATGTCATAATTATGATTTTCAAAGAATTTTTTCATTTGTGACAGTAATAGGTTCCATAGTGGACCGATGTGTACCTCTCAGAAACCTGGTAATGGTTATGTTCTTGTTTTTAATTTAAAAAACGAGAGACGTTAACATGTTTTACTTTGCGATGCATCTGAGGGTTTAAGAAGTTTCCCAGATTAGGAAATGACAGATGTGATGGCCAAACAAATTCTGCTCATCGGTGTGGATGACAAAAGCAGTCACGATAGAGTCGTGATGTATTTAATCGAGCATGAAATTGAGCCAAATTGATTTCAGATACTCACACATAACCTTTGAACACGTTGAGGTTGTTGTTGGGGTTTTCACACACGACAGTACTGGAAAATGTTTGAGGTTGAAATGGTTCGCCCTGAAACACATGAGAAAGATGCCAAGCATGATTTCCTCCTTCTATATCCTCATTGTTTTAATTATAATTTGAACTGACTATCAAGGGCTGTCTAACAAGTACTGTTTGACAGTAAAGCTACACATAGCAAACTGAGCAGTCAGGAACACATGGCCAAAAAAACATGTTCATGTTCAAAGACATAATAAGGCAGTGTAACTTGTTTTGTGTGCCACTGAGTGTTTGGGAGTTTTTAGGTATCTATTGACATTGGCTGACTCATAATGAAGAGTTATGCTTTTATAAACTTTGTGACTTGAGGTGTATAAAGAAACTTCAGAAGCTGACAAAAAAATAAGACATATAAAAGGTTGGCGACTTAAAACAATTACAATTATACACTTTGGGGTCAGTCATTTTTTTTCTTTCGAAAACGAAAACAATATATATATGTCAAAAGATTTTATAATGTTACAAAAAGTTTTTCAATTTCAAATAAATACTGGTGTTTTTTTATCTTTCTGTTCATTAAATCATTATGAAAAAAATGCATCATGGTTACTGTAAAAATATTAAAAATATTAACTGTTGTATTTTATTCTTGAAAACTTCTGGAATATACTTTTTTTGGCTTTACCAACAGTCCCGGTAATTATAATTCTGTAGTTATATAATACTATATATTCCACTTGATTTAATACTTTAGACACTTATTTTTATGCATATTTTGTGATATCGCATGGAAATGCAGACGCGCATTAATTCTAAAAATGTGCATGAAAAACGTATGCGCTCATTTTATCCGATAAGGAAACATGAGCAGAAACTATGATGGAAACACATTTACAGAATAAACTCATTGACACGCTTCAAAAAAATCATGTGACTTTGCAAAAGGAACAACCTGACTGGAATAACCAGCAGACCAATTATTACTTTATTTTATCATCTCCTAATATTCTGTAGCGCCGGTTTATCGAATGTATCGTTTTCTCACACAAACCGCTCGTTTCGTGTCTTAGGCCATCAATGTGTACTTACATTTACGAGTCAGTAAATCATGTTTCATTTGGACTTCTCTGTGCATGCTCTTTGAGGTGGTGACCATAGACCTCCATTATATGACTGACAGACAAGAACGGTTTGACCTAAAAATATCAAAATTGAAAATGCTGTGGAAACAAAGACACCTACATCTTGGATGCCCTTGAGGTAGGCTAAAACATACCAAAAATTAATTTCAAAGTGAACTGTCCCTTTAAGGGAATACTATAGTTTAATATGAAAAAAACGGTGGAGTATCCCTTTAAGTCATTTCAACTTAAATTGCATTAAAACGACTTAATAAAATGAGTTGAATCTTCGCAAATGTTTTATGCGCTATTCCAATTTTGCATGGAAACATATACTGACATTTAGGAATATTTAACTGTGGCGCACAATGGGCTCATTGTAGCTGTAAGCTTTAGACTTCTCCCAAAGGTATTTTGTGATCGGCAGCGCACTTACCGGAGTGGAAAAGCCTGGCACCACCCTCCTCTGTTTGAGGTTGGTCTCTCCATCCAGATTGGCTGTTTCCATGTGGCACACTCCATTAGGGTCGGACGTGTGCAGGAGCAGGATGTCAGCTGGGATGATCTGGTTAGAGAGCACTCTTACAAAATCCCCCACACGTACATCCTTCCATCTCCTCTTCACCAAACGCATCTGTTTCCTGTGAGAGGACGAGAATTAATACCTCACACGGACCTCTTCTAAAGCTGGTGTGGGGGTTCAGTGTTTGTGTAGTAGTCTACATATAAATGCACAGACACACTTGGACTAGTATACACAGATGTAGACAGCATGATATATATATGAAAAATGAATGGTTATGAAAAGCAATCCAGGACACATTCATTGATAATTTGAGCATGTTACGCCAGGCATCTCAATCTAATGTGCAACCTAAAACAATAACTATGAGTTTGCATCTTCAAGTAGGTTTTAATGTCAGCTGTCGACACAGAGCACACAGTTGAAAGAATACTGCAGTCACGATGTGAACGTCAGGTATGCGGCTCTACAGGCACAACTGGGTTGGGTGGGTTCTTCACAGACTGACGGCCCTCTTGAGAAAGGTCACTGTCACACCTCACACACAAAGCCGAGGAGAAGCTTAAACATCACTTGGGTACAGCTCTCATGCTCTCTTTACATTGCTGTCAAGTTACATGAATGTAGTCTGACAAAAAACATGTCCAAGTCACATTACAGTAATTAGATCCGGTAGTTTTACTGTTTTACAGATAATATATATATATATTCTCAAAAATACAGGAATATGACATTTTTTGCATTATGACATTATTTTTATAACAATTAAGCTTTAATTCACATTAATGTAATATAGTATGTTTACTGTATAATATAATACTGTATATTTCACATCACAGTAATGAGATTATTTGCAATGCAACTATTTTTTACAATAATTTAGCACAACTAAGGACATTATTGCCATTAATGTAATAGGCTATGGTATGTTTACTGTATGAAAAAATATATAATATCTATCTTTCAAATTACAGTAATAAGATTTTTTTTTTCATTCAATGTGACATTGTTTTCATAGCAAATAAGCACAATTAAGGACATTAGATTCTTATTAATGCAATATAATATTTTTACTGTGGCTGTGTCCGAAATCTCCAGTCAAACCACTACTCCCTACCCCTATGTAGAAAACTACTTTTCAAAATGCATTCTGGGATACATTGAGTGGACTATATAGGGTATAATAATCATCACTATATATTTGGACAGCACTACAAAATGGCGAGATCACTATATAGTCCACTATATAGTGAGTAGATTTCGGACACAGCCTGTATCTGTCATGGTTTGGGTGTATGTACTGTATATATATATATATATATATATATATATGAAATTGTTCCATATCACATTACATAAGATTCTTTTGTATTTTAACATTATTTTTTTTAAGAAAAAATCCCTATTAATGATATAAGATTCATATTAATTCAATGTAGTATTTTTTACTGTATTACATAAAATCATGTTTTTCACATTACAGTAATAAGAGATTTTTTTTGCATTACAATAATGAGCAGGGAAAATTATAGCCCACTTCATTAGATTTTAAGGTACATGACAACTTGCTGTTGTCAAATAATGGCTAAATTTACTATTTCAAACCCCACTGCTGGAAAATACTGCCCAAAAAGCAATACTTCATGCAAACCTAAATCAATTAAATGAAAGAAAACGAATTAATTATTTTACTAATAAACGAAAACGGCTGACAAACGAATATTAGTTGCCCAAATCAGGCAAGACTACTGTTTTGTGCCGAGCAAGCATTTCTCTGAATGAAGTGCCTGATGTCTGTTTCAGATAGTGGCGAGATAAATCTTGCGAGGAGCGCTCCTCCAGAAGGACTCACTGTTTGCAGTCTGATTAGCGAGACGTCTATTTCTGGCATTTAACTGTCAGTCAGAATGTGTGAGTGTGAAGAAATGATGATGTGTGAGACAAACAGCTGCTCTTGAATACTCTATTTTGAACGAGAGTCGACGCCTTATACCCTTTCACAGCATTCCACCGCACGGTGAATTTTAACTCAGTTTGTGACGTTCACACAGCGTCTTTTTAAAGTGAAAAACAGTGGCTGAAGATAAAATATGACCGTACGTGGCAGGCAATTTCATCATGATCATTATCATTTCATCATAATCAATCATAATCACCGGTTCTACTCTCTAAAAGAAAGTCCTCATACTATCATCTGAGATGTTTTGAATTCAAGTGTCTGGTTTGATATTCATGGGACATGTTAACTATGAACGAGTAGGTGAATCCACAAGCTTTTGTGAGCGTTTCAAAGCATCTTTTTTCAGTCTAATCCACCAATATATCTGCATTCCTCTCAGTTAAATGGCAGGGGAGAGACCACAATTTCTTCCAGTTCTCATGACGGGCTGGGCATCAGACCAAAAAAATGCATACACATTGGGTCGTGTGTTCTCTAGCAGAAGTGTGATGACCCATGATACAGTATGTGGGAAAGGTGCATTTACTGTGCTGAAGCTTAACCATTTGTACAAGGTCGGTGTGACTCAACAGGAACGGAGGCATTCCTTACACTGCATCCTACTCACATTTTTGTTATACAAATGCATGCCATGTAAACTTCCAAGTTGTGAAGTCAGCCAGCCTGGCAACTATTTGTTCAAGTTTGCAGATGTAGTTCTTAAAGGAGTAGTTCACTTTAAAAAAACTTTTGCTGATAATTTACTCATCAATAAATTATTCATAAATTGAATAAATTACTCATAAATTATTCATCATCTGGTGTCGTTTAAAGCCCGTTGAAGCTGCACTGAAACTCTCATTCGGACCTTGAACCGTTTGGTTCCCACTGAAGTCCATTATATGGAAAATGCTGGAATGTTTTCATCAAAAACCGTGATTTCTTTTCAACTGAAGAAAGAAAGACATGGAAATCTTGGATGACATGGGCGTGAGTAAATTATCAGCAAAAGTTTTTTTTAAAAAGTGAACTATCTCCTTTAATGAACGTTTGGGGGGAGTATATGTTCTATCACAAGGAAAGGGATCTTTAAATAACTCATACTCCAGACAATTCTTACACCAACGGCCCCTCTCCTCTCCACACGTGTGTCCAGGAGCCTGATTATAGACTACAAGCCCAAACCTGCCTTTTTTTAGGTATCAGGGGTGTTTGGTAAAGCCTGCATCACTATTAATGTCGGGAAGCGGGAGCAAGGAGAATTTGATGAGAATGGATTTTCAATTGAACTTCCAAAGGTTCACAGTTGTGTTCCAGTTTATTATAAGTACAAAATGAATGGTGCCCCAAAGTCAACTTTTTGATGAATTTCAGTGCTTTGTTTGAAGCCAAAATATTTCATTTTTAGTGATTTGCGCAGAACAAAGGAGGTTTTTTTTTTACAAATATAAAGGGTTACATTTTATTTTAACGATGTAATAATACATTTAGTATTGATAAAATGTTATGTCGCCCAAAAATGAAAATTCTGTCATTAATTATTCACCTTCACGTCATTGCAAACCCACAAGACTTTTTTTCCATCTTCAAAACACAAATGAAATTTTTTTGATGAAATCTGAGAGCTTTCTGTCCCTCCATTGACAGCTGTGCAACTGACACTTTGACGCTTCAAAAAGTTCCAAATTTCACACATCAGTTTTTGGTAAACAGAAGCTTAAGCATGTCGCTTGACGAGCAAGAACCAATGAGGTTCATCATAAGGTTGTCGTGTTACGCAGCACGTTTGAGCTTCCACAAGAAAAGCGATCACGTCTCTTCAGAAAATTTGGACTAAACCACTCAATATGGATTAGTTCACGATCTCTTTAAAGGTGCAAAACATAAGTCTCTGAGTTTTTGCAGAACTACGCCCCCTCTGGCGACAAGCGAAACTGCAACTAGAGGTGTGCGCGCTCATGGATCACACACACGCACGTTTGCACGAGCTGTTCATAACCAAAGGAGCATCAGGCGCACACATCTTTTGTTACAGTCATAATGAGGTTCTGCAAGTCATTTAAAATATATGAAATGAAAGGCATGTGAGTAAATTACACACTTATATGTGTGTGTGTGTGTGTGAGGGGGAAACGGGGGTGGTAGAAAACTTCGGTTTTTGTTTCCATCTATCTCCATGTTGAACTGTTTTATCTGCTTACTGTATCCACTTACTGTATGATTGTATCATTATGGAAACATCTTGAACAATATAAGTTATTATTTTGTATAGGATCCGTTTGAGCCCGAGAGCAGACCGGAGATCTCTTCATTTGTTGAAAGCTTCCCGATGTTGACTCTCGTCTTATTCCGACGCCTGGCACTAGACAGAAGTTTTACTTTCTTTGTCTTACGTGGAGTTTGCGTTGGGGTTTGGAATGAACTACAAGCCGGTCGTCTCTTTGAATCCATCTTCTACTTTTGTGGAAAGTTGACTAAAGTTTTTTCGCTCGAGTTGTCTTCTCTGATACGGAGAATAGCGGCGAATACACAAACCTGGCAGACATAGCCAGGCGAGCGCGAACGCGCATGACGTCACGCCCAGTCTGAAATTCGAGCCTGAATCCCTCTTATTTATTTTACTGTACAGGATTATAGTGGCAATCACAGTGATCAGAGAAGGGCTCATTCAGCCCATCAGATGGGTTAGAAATACGGCATGAAACATTTTTTAACATGAAATGTTGCATAATGCACCTTTAAGAACTTTTTAAAAGCGTCAGAGTGGTAGTTGCTTAACTGTCAATGGAGGGACAGAAAGCTCTCAGATTTTATCAAAAAATGTACTGTTTGGAACAACATGAGGGTGAGTAAATGATGACAGAATTTTAATTTTTGGGTGAACTATCGCCTTAACTACTTGTAGTTAGATGGTTAGGGTTAGGTTTGGGGTTATTTGCTTGTAATTCTGCATAATTTACAGTTATTACTATAGTAACTACATGTAACATGTAACAAAGACATCACTATTCAAAAATTATAACCGTTTTTCAACATAACCAAAGAGATTCCGCATTTAATGAAATATGCACATGCACGTTAATAATGTGTTGTCACTTTGGCTGACTGTAAGTTTAATTATAAATGACAATAGTAAATTCTGCTGTGTTCCGTGTATGCTAATTGCAGGGGGATCACTG